TGCCATGCAGCTTTCTCTAATTTGCTCTGAGTTCCTGGCTATGAATTGCTAAACTATCAGTGACATTATCTTCTCTCACTTTTAAGGCTCTACAATGAAAGAATCTTCCATTTTTCATTTGTTAGCTTGTTGCTGTTTTCCCACTCTAGAAGTGCTTGTGGTTTACTAAACTTCTTTATTTCACTTTTAGTGCATACAGTTTATGCTTTCTAGTCTTTTGTCTTCAGGGATTCTAAACTCCTGTGGGAATTCTGGTACCTTTTCGGGTAACTAAGAATTCACCATTAAAGTCCTGGAATTAATGTGCTCAATCTAGAATCCTCAAGAATAAGAAGTGAGCTATCAAGGTTTATAGAGAACCCTGTTGACACTTCTCCCAGAGTAGCTTCAATAGGGTCCAAAGACTCTTCACCTTTCACAGGGGTTTGGGTTTGAATTAGGATCACTGACAGCTCAGCAACTTTTATGCTACCAATTAGAAAAGGAGGTCACTATATAGAGAAAATTTAGTGCCTTCTAATCACCTTTGTATACTTGAATTTAGTTATTAATTTACCCTGTCTGTAGACTGAACAAACTCAACTCCTTTAATTTAAAACAAACTAAATAACTCTTTAATGACTGCTCCATTAAACAGAGTTGTATTGATTTATATCTGTTATACTCCAGAGGTAGATGTTGTAACTCTGTGCTTTTCCAGGGAGTTATAACTGACTGTTGATGGACAGGTGTCTCAAATACAACTGATACATTCAGATTGTCACAGCCAATTCCTGCGTTTAAAGAGTGGCTTTCTTTTTTCTATCTTTAGGGCCACTCTGGCTCTTTATTTCAGGATGTTTTCTTGATTTTTCTTGATTATCACATAGACCTAGCAATTCCCAAAGCAGGTTTTTAATATTCAGTGCTGTTTCGAGAAGCGTCATGACATTTTCAGAATGAAATGAACATTGATTAATTTTAATTTAAAAGACACAGTTCCTTGTCACAGATTGGAGGAGACTAAAGAGGTATAACTAAATGCAACAGTTGGGCGCAGTGGCTCATGCCTGTAATCCCAGCACTTTGGGAGGTCGAGGTGGGCAGATCACGAGGTCAGGATGGGACCATCCCGGCTAACATGGTGAAAGCCCGTCTCTAAAAATACAAAAAAATTAGCTGGGCGTGGTGGCAGACGCCTGTGGTCCCAGCTACTTGGGAGGCTGAGGCAGGAGAATGGCATGAACCCAGGAGGCAGAGCTTGCAGTGAGCAGAGATCACGCCACTGCACTCCAACCTGGGGAACAAAGTGAGACTCCGTCTCAAAAAAAAGATAGAACTAAATGCAATGTGGGATCCTAGAACAGAAAAAGAATATTAATGGGAAAACTGGGGAAAATTGCATAAAGTCTGTATTTTAGTTAATAGGATTATATCTGTTGATTTCCTGTCTTTCTACTATCCTTATGTAAGATTTTAACATTTGGGGAAGCTAGGCGAAGGGTATTTGGGAACTCTTGCAACTTTCCTATAAATCGAAAATTATTTCAAAATAAAAAGTTTAAAAATATATACTTTGTTGCTATTTATTTAGGAATTATGGTGTTGGTCTTTCTGGAGGCCCTCTAAGGCAATGAAGATGATCCAAGATGCATCAGCATACTAACTGCCCACAGGAACCAACCAAGGAAATTGTTTTTACTTGTGTATCCATTCTAACCCTACTACTGCAGTCCAGGCTTATCAAGGTCCATGGAAGGCAGCAGGTTCTCATGGGAAGAGTAAGAGATTCGAATTCAGATATGTGGCCAGGCGTGGTGGTTCGCGCCTGTAATTCCAGCACTTTGGGAGACTGAGTTGGGCGGATCACTTGAGGTCAGGAGTTTGAGACCAGCCTGGCCAACATGGTGAAACTCCGTCTCTACTAAAAATACAAAAATTAGCTGGGTGTGGTGACGGGCTCCTGTAATCCAGCTACTTGGGAGGCTGAGGCAGGAGAATCACTTGAATGTGGGAGGTGGAAGTTGCAGTGAGCCGAGATCAGGCTACTGCACTCCAGCCTGGGTAGTAGAGTGAGACTCCGCCTCAAAAAAAAAAAAAAAAGATGTGAGTTTGTTTCTTCTACCACTCACTAGTGGTTTCAGTTTGGGCAGCCAGCTTGACTTTTCTGAGTCTCAGTTTTTCATCTGAATACTAGGGAGCATAGTATGTATCCCATAGTGATTATAAGGATTAAATAATATATATACATCCTAGTCACAAACTCTAAAGCACAATGTAAAATGTTCATTTTGATTAATATCTGAATTAATCACTTGGAAAAAAAAGGTTCTTCAGTTTCAGGGATTATATATATATCAGGCTAGCTCTTTTAATTTTTCCTAGATTAATTGTATTGCTACATTGGATGTAATCAAAATCCATAGATGATATATTTACAGTTGTGCTTATAGCATTTTTATTATTAACAGTCCATTTGAACATAAACCAGGATGGCAGAGAAACAAAGTAGTAAGCTGAACACTGTAGTCTATTTAATACAAAGATTTACTTGCATTATTATTTTGACTTATTTAAGCCAATGTCTAGCCTTTTTGCTTTGGAAATTATGACACTAGGAAGAGAATTTCAAATATTAAAATCCCAAATCTGTCAGTTTCCATGAAATTTAAAGCCAAAGTCATTAATGGAATCCATGGAGCTATTTTCAAGGGAGACCCTAGAGAGATACAATATCCAGTCTAACAATTGTATGAGACTTACAATATTGTAGTTTGTTTGCAAAAGTAAATTATTCTATAACTAATTGAAAACAAGGAGCTTATTCAAAATACTGAAGTGTACAAAAGAACAACAACAACAACAAAAAAAGACAAAATACTGAAGTGCTACCGGGTAGCTGTGATGAAATTTTATGTTTCCTATTTTACATCCGAGGGATCTAAAGTTTATTCTAAGTCCGTAGTTCATGTGGCTTCATGCTCTGATTCTGCCTGGTAAAGTGCTGCAGTGTGGTTTCAACCAGATTCTAATTATTCTTCTTCCTGTATGTTGATTTAGCTGCTTTACTAAAGCAGCCTCACATAACTCAATCAGGATTTTCTCCAAAAATTTCAATCTAATGCCAAAACCAAAAGAGATCAAAGAAATGGAAGATTTCCTAGTGAAGTCAGAGCTGCTCATCATTAGTGCTTACCTTTGAATAAGGAGAAATACTTTAAAAAGCTAACTGTTATTGAGTGGGTAAAGTAATGAGTAAGATCTCTGTTACCCTCAAGGAGTATTGTATTGCTACACTGGATGTAAACAATGTAGTATTACAGGATTACAATCAATGAAATTCTGGGCTCAAGGAGTACATTTTCCAACTCAGTAAAAAGTAGTGTGTTAGCAGGTATAGATGGAAATTCTGTGTGTGTGTGTGTGTGTGTGTGTGTGTGTGTGTGTAGCCACACATATTCTATTCATGAAACAGCAATCTCATTAGATTAAGACAAGAATGTGCATTATTCATGTTACTTTTACTGTCGTTCTAGAGATATTAGACAACTGAGAAGAAACAATTTATATATAATTATAAAGGAATAATTAAAATGATCATTAAGTGATTACCTTATCTAAGGAAATGCTGATTTAAAACAGATAGCTATAGGATATTTGTGAAGTGTCTAATTATCCTTGTGATAATTTTTCCTCATTACATTTATCCAGAAAAAGCCAGGATTTTCAACTAAGTCTTTTAAATAAGAATCAAGATTTTTAAATTTCTATGAATGTTTACAAACAACTGGGACAATTTTCTTTAAAAATAGCTTCTTAAGGCCTGAAGCAGTGGCTCACGCCTGTAATCCCAGTACTTTGGGAGGCTGAGGCGGGCGGATCACAAGGTCAGGAGATCAAGATCATCCTGGCTAACACGGTGAAACCCCATCTCTACTAAAAGTACAAAAAATTAGCCGGGCGTGGTGGCACATGCCTGTAGTCCCAGCTACTCGGGAGACTGAGGCAGGAGAATCACTTGAATCTGGTAGGCGAAGGTTGCAGTGAGCCAAGATGGCACCACTGCATTCCAGCCTGGGCAACAGAGTGAGACTCCATCTCAAAAAAAAAAAAAAAAAAAGCTGCTTAAAAAGTAAATAAAAATGGGCCGGGCGCGGTGGCTCAAGCCTGTAATCCCAGCACTTTGGGAGGCCGAGATGGGCGGATCACAAGGTCAGGAGATCGAGACCATCCTGGCTAACACGGCGAAACCCCGTCTCTACTAAAAACACAAAAAAATTAGCCGGGCAAGGTGGCGGCGCCTGTGGTCCCAGCGACTCGGGAGGCTGAGGCAGGAGAATGGCAGGAACCCGGGAGGCGGAGCTTGCAGTGAGCTGAGATCTGGCCACTGCACTCCAGCCTGGGCGACAGAGCGAGACTCCGTCTCAAAAAAAAAAAAAAAAAAAAAAGTAAATAAAAATAAAAGTAGCTTCTTCCAATTCCATTAACAATTAAATTTTTTATTCTCTTCAATAAGTAACATTAACATATACTAGCAACAAAATACTAAAGATATTATAAACAGGTATTCAGTGAAGTCATTGTCCTTCTAGCCCTGTCAGAGCCTCAATCACTGATACCAGTTTTTATATATTTTTCTAGAGACCTTTTTAGACATATACAAAGCTAGCTTCTCTTTTCTTTTTATATCAGTGGTAGTATGCCACATGCACGGTCTGTATGTTATTTTGTTTTGTTTTTTATTTAGCAATGTTATGGAACTGTGCCAAATCTACATTTTTTTTTTTTTTTTTAATTTTTAGAGACAGGATCTTGCTCTGTCATCTTGGCTGGAATGCAGTGATTTGATCATAGCTTGCTGTAGTCTCGAACCTTAGGTCACAGATGATCCTCTAACCTCAGCCTTCTGAGTAGCTAGGACTACAAGCATGTGCCACCATGCCCAGCTAATTAAAAATAATAATATATATATTTTTAATTGTGTTGACCCAGGCTGGTCTCTAACTCCTGGCCTCAAGCAGTCCTCCCACCATGGCCTCCCAAAGTGCTGAGATTACAGGCGTGAGCCACCATGGCTGTCCTGGTATCATTCTTTAACAACTGCAAAATATTAGATTATAGTGATATTCCATGACGTAACCAATTACATATTCAGGTTGCCGCCAACCTTTTGCTTTTATAAACAAGGCTGTGTGAAGAGCCTGGTACAAACGTGTCTTTGCGTATGCGTGCAACTACATCTGAAAGATAAATTCCTAAATGTGGAGTTGCTGGGTCAATAGGTAAGTGCATGTATAATTTTGCTGAGTTGCTTTTGTGGAAGCCAATAATTCTACTCACAGTGCCACTAATAATGTGTGAGAGTACTTTTTTCTCCTAAGCAGAAAGTTTCTGTGGATTTTTTTAGGGGGTGCTTCTGGGTTTTACTTAGAAAGGCCTTCTGCATTTTGAGATTATTTTTTAAATTCTTTGATATCTTTTAATATTTTCATAATTTCATTTTTTATATTTAAACCTTTGGTACAGCTCAGATATATTTTAATACAAAGAATAAGGCTATCTTAATTCCTTTTCTCAACTGGCTACCTAATTGTCCCAATATCATTTGTGAATAATCCATCTCTCTCTCTCACTAATGGGAAATGTCAGCTTTATGATTCCTATATTAATTTGGGCTATTCTTTAACTTTCTTGTATCCACTAGCATAAGCTAGGTTATGTTGTGGTAACAAACAACCTCAAAATCTTAATGGCTTACAACAAGAATTTTCCTTCCTTTTGGTACGTGTTCATCAAGAGTTGGCTGAAAGCTGTACTCCATGTCTTCTCACTCAGAAACTAATGGAGTTGCCACCATCTTGAACATTACCAGCTGTCCTGATTAAGGGAAAGAGGGGCCTGGAGAATCTCACACCATCAATAAGATGTTCAGCCTGAAAGAGACATACATCAGTTCCCTTCACAGCTTGCTGACAAGTTTTAGTCACATGACCCTACCCACAACAAGACAGCCAGGAAGTACAGTCATACATGTGTGCAGAAGGAAGATGGAAAGCTGAAAATATTTGGTAAACAGCAACTATCCTATCTCTATTCTGTCCTGTTCATCCGTCAATTCAAGTGTCAGCAGCACAGGTTTTTCTTTTTTAGAATATTTCTGGCTATGCTTTCATTTTCATTTTTACTTTTAAACTAGAATTAGCTTCTCCAACCACTCTTATCCTCTCAGAAAAGACAAACCCTGTCAGTTTTTTAAAATTGTATCTGCATTAAATTGATGGATTTAAGGAAAATTGACATCTTTATAATATTTAGAATCTTTACAACCAAGAAGAGGATATTTTAGTTACTCACATCTTTTTTTGTGTCTTTTATATTTTCTTAATACAGATTGCATGTATTTATTAGTATTCTTTTTGTTCTTTTAGTAAGATTCTTTATTTTACCATCACCTGCAAATAATCATTTTAATTTCTTCTTTGCAATCAGGTTGGTTTTCTTGAAGGATTAGACAAGATACAGCCATTTTCAAATAATATATATCTATTACCCAAAATATTTTTCAAAAAATTTCATATGTGCCTGGTGCAGTGGCTCACGCTTGTAATCCCAGCACTTTCTGAGGTCATGGCAGGAGAATCCCTTAAGCTCAGGAATTCCAGACCAACCTGGGCAAAATAGCAAGACCCCATCTCTATAAAAATAAAAAAATTAGCTGGGCTTCATGGTGCATGCCTATAGTTGCAGCTCCTGGGGAGGCTAAGGCAGAAAGGTTGCTTGAACCCAGGAGGTTGAGGTGGCAGTGATCTGTGATTGCACCTCTGCATTCCAGCCTGGGCCACAGAGCAAGACCATGTCTCAAAAAAACAAACAACAAAAAAGAGTTTCTTTTCATGATCCATCTCTATATTAATTCCAGTGAATAAGTAGGTTAACATTAATGATAACTGCTGTTTATTTCAGCTACTGGACACACCAATTTTTTTTTTTTTTTATTTTTTGAGACAGGATCATTCTCTGTCACCCAGGCTGGAGTGCAGTGGCATGATCACGGCTCACTGCAGCATCGACCTCCTGGGCTCAAGCAACCTTCTCACCTCAGCCTCCTGAGTAGTTGGGACCACAGGTGCATACCATCACACTTGGCTAATTTTTAAATTTTTCTGTAGAGACGGGATCTTGCCATGTTGTCCAGTCTGGTCTTGAACTCCTGGGCCTAAGCTATCCTCTCACCTCGGCCTCCCAAAGTGCTGGGATTATAGGCATGAGCCACCACGCCCAACCTGAAACACCAAAAAAAAAAAAATTTTTTTTTAATTTTAAGCTGCTGCTGCTGCTGAAGATAAAGATGCTTACATATGTGATTAGTTACCTATACATCTGGAAAATTTTTGTTTAATTTCCCTAATTTACATCATCTCTACCTATGCTTGCTTGTATTTTTCTCGTATATCTAGCTAGCCTCTTAAGAGTGAATACTCTCTAGTTTACTGTAAATTACTGCCGGCAGTGAAAACTCTTTAAATTATGTCCCCACTCATCCCCTTCCAAGAGTCCAGTACAATCACAGAAGAAGCTGAGCTGTTTAAATAATATGAGAATCTCAGAACCTCAGTTCACATGGCTCATTGAATCCTCTATTGTGGGATTCTTTTCATGGAAACACCAAAATTTTTAAGAATCATATTTGTTTTGTGCTCTGCAGATATCTGTTATGCTGACCTATATGAGAACCAGGAGCTAATGAGTCTTTAATGTAGACTAAAAATTGGCTCTGAGTAAAGAGACTCACAGGCCCATTCATCAGACTTGAGAGAGATTTAAAAGTAAACATCTGCAGATAATCAGAGGATAGTTTTGAGTGCCAAAATGAGGCATTGCTCTCCTGTTGCATTTTGATTTTCCTCGCAGCAGAAAAAAAAATGTTGTTTTCTTGGGAACGAAATCAGCTTTTTTCTAAAATTAAGTAGTTATGGTACTACCCCTAGAGTTTATTTCATGTTGAGATGGGAACCGCTCATTGCTTCGTATTTCTTTTCACACTGCCTTTGTGTAATTAAGATGTAAAGTTCAACCTGAGAGTATTTTCTTCCTTTATAACTTGTCTTCCATTTCATCCTCCTTCTGTCTGCATTACTCTGTGTTGTTTCCCCCTAACTCATATTCCTAAGAGTGCTGCCATCAGTTAATCAAAAAACAATTAATCATGTAGAAGTCAATAGTTAAATGTTGATTAGCAGATTCTTTGTAAAAGTGTAGGGCTGGGAGTTGTGGCTTACGCCTGTAATCCCAACGCTGGGGTAAGAGGATCCCTTGACTCTAGGAGTTTGAGGCTGCACTTAGCTATGATCATGCTACTGCACTCCAGCCTGGGTGATGGAGCAAGACTCTGCCTCTTTTAAAAAAAAGAAAAAAAAGGCCAAGGTGGATGGATCACGAAGTCAGGAGATCGAGACCATCCTGGCTAACACAGTGAAACCCCATCTCTACTAAAAATACAAAAAATTAGCTGAGCATGGTGGCACGCGCCTGTAGTCCCAGCTACTCGGGAGGCTAAGGCAGGAAAATTTGCTTGAACCTGGGAGGCTGGGGCTGCAGTGAGCCAAGATTGTGCCACTGCACTCTAGCCTAGGCAACAGAGCGAGACTCTGTCTCAAAAAAAAAAAAAAAAAAAAAAAAATTACACTGCATGCACACTCATGCCTGGGATACAGATGTCAGAAGGGAATTTGAGTTCTACTGAATCTATGGCACAAAAACAAAAGAAGAAAGGGGCTGGCATGGTGGCTCATGCCTATGATCCCAACACTTTGGGAGGCCAAGGCAGGGAGGATCACTTGAGGCCAGGAGTTCAAGACCAACCTGGGCAACATGGTTAAACCCCGCCTCTACAAAAAATAATTTCAAAAAATAGCTGGGTATGGTGACATGTGCCCATAGTCCCAGCCACTCGGGAAGCTGAGGCAGGAGGATCCCTTGAGCTCAGGAGGTCGAAGCTGCAGTGAGGTATGATTGCACTACTGCACCCAATCCAAGCGACAGAGCAAGGAGGGAGGGAGGAAAGAAGGAAGGAAGGAGGCAAGGAGGAAACAGAAGGAAGGAGGAAAGGGAAGGAAGAAAGAAAATAATTAAATCCATACCTGTGAAAAGGTATGGATTTAATTATTTAAAAAAAAATTGTTTAATTTTTTTTAATTGTTTAAAAAAAAAAAAAGGGAGCATGAGACGTTAAAGTCTTCTTTGCCCTCAAAGTGAAGTCTCATAAAGATCTGATAGAATGATTTACATTGAAAATAGATTTCATCATTACATAAAAATGGAGAAAATGGCCGGGCATGGTGGCTCACGCCTGTAATCCCAGCACTTTGGGAGGCCAGGGCCTGAGGTCGGAAGTTCAAGACCAGTCTCAAACTCTCTTCGAGGAGAAACCAGACCTCTACTAGGAGAAACCCCGTCTCTACTAAAAATACAAAATTAGCTGGCTGTGGTGGCACATGCCTGTAATCTCAGCTACTCAGGAGGCTGAGGCAGGAATTCGCTTGAACCCGGGAGGCAGAGGTTGAAGAGAGCCGAGATCGCGCCATTGCACTCCAGCCTGGGCAACAAGACCGAAACTGCGTCTCAAAAAAAAAAAAAAAAATTACTGGGAATATGGCAGAGTAAAAATAGACTCACCAAAATAACAAACATCTGAAATTTTTAAAAATATTCAAGTAGACAAACTTCAATTATGGTAAACAAATTAAAGATAGCACCTCAGGCTTGATTTTAGAACTGTGGAACAGCAGCAAAGAGAAAAGCTGTGCACAAACCCAGAGAAAACAATGGTAGCAGAAGAAACAGAAAAAATCCAAACTGTGAAGAAATTGGAATTTTCAATAACAGGGCTGGAAAGGATAAAAAAACACAAAGGCTATTAAAAGGAACTGATCAGGGAAAAAAAATAAGTAAATTAAAGGAACTGGTCAGGCATGGTGCCACACATCTGTAGGCCCAGCTACTCTGGAGACTGAAGCAGGAGGATTGCTGGAGCCCAGGAGTTCAAGTCCAGCCAAAGCAACATAGTGAGACCATTTCTCAAACAAACAAATATATACATACATACATACATATATACATCTGGTTAGAATTAGGTGAAAAAAAGCTAAAACACTGCAATGAAACATACTTTAAAATCACAACATCCTTTGATAAAAAAGTAATCAAAATAATGAGGTAGTCAGTAAAATTAAGGCTAAATGGAAAGATCCCGATTAAAACATAGATGGAATAGACAAATTGATTATGGCAATTCCAATAGACATAGTTTTTTGTTGTTGTTCCCCCAACTGTCCTTTAAATAATGGGAAGGGGTGTAAATAAGAGGAAGCCCCAGAAAAGGAAACATTAAAGAAGTTACTGTAGAAAAATAGACTTTTGCCTAAAGACTGAGAGGTTTCGGAGTTACTTCTTTCCAGATTTGGTACTTAAAGACAGAATACCCAGATACCTAATTATCAGTGTCTTAAAACTAGAAAGAAGTCTTCTGGTGTATACTGAGATTTGAAAGAAAGAAAAAAAAAAACTTGAAAGAAAGAAGAGTTATCCTCTGAAGAATGAAAAAACAAGGATAACCTCAAACTTTAAACAATAGAGAGAAGATACTCTTAGAAAAATATTTATGGAACGCCAGCCAATTTCTTGCCTAGCTGTCTGCCTTTTGAAGATAAAAGATGTTTGAACCCTGATCTCTTTTTCCCTGGTGGAACCCCGATATCTGTTTCAAATAATTAAGTTTACAGATTATAAAAGATCATAAAAGACTGGGAATACAGAGGGAGACCTTTGAAATATGAGTTGTAGAGACTGGAGCACCTTAAGTGAGGCAGTGATATCATTCAGGAGGGCCAGCTTAGGTGCTGAGGCTCAAAATCTCTCAGTGCAGGGTATCCACCGGAGGTGCTGCATTACAGTATCTGGTCCTCAAATATCCAGAAATGCAGCCTTGCCAGGGATGACTAGGTCCCAGGAAAATCTTGCTAACCAAAGCTCACAAGAGGCCATAAAGGTACTCAATGAAGAAGTGCGT